AACTGACTGGAAATTCAAGAACTGACTGGAAAGGGCACAAAAAAGTAGGAGGTACAATGACATGAAGGTTACAAAACGACAGGAGGGTTTTCAAGAACTGGAGGAAGGTTACAAGAAATGACTGGAAAAGGTACAAGAACGACTGGAAGGTTTAAAAAACTGACTGGAAGGTTACAAAGGAAAATGACGGGGTTAAAAACTGACTGGAAGGTTCAAAACTGCTGGAAAGGGTTACAAGAACTGATGGAAGGGTTTCAAGAACGCTGGAAGGTTACAAGAACTGACGGAAGGTTACAAGAAATGACGGAAGGTACAAGAACTGACTGGGGAAAGGTTTCAAGAACGACAGGAAGGGTTTTAAGAACTGACTGGAAAAATTTTAAAAAACGACTGGAAGGTTCAAGAAATGGCAGGGAAAGGGTTTCAAAAACGACTGGAAGGTTTTCAAGAACTGATGAAGGGTTTCAGAAGATGAAAGGGTTTCAAGAACTGGCGGAAAGGTTTCAAGAACGATGAAGGTTACAAGAACTGCTGGAAGGTTACAAGAACACTGGAAGGTTTCAAGAACTGACTGGAAGGGTTTCAAGAACTGACTGAAGGTTACAAAACTGTGGAAGGGTTTCAAGAAAATGACTGGAAGGTTACAAAACGATGGAAAGGTTGCAAGAACTGACTGGAAGGTTTCAAAAGACTGGGAAGGGTTAAAAAATGACTGGAAAGGGTTTCAAAACGACTGGGAAGGTTACAAGAAATGATGGAAGGTTTCAAGAAAATACTGGAAGGGTTCAAGAACGACTGGGAAAGGTTTTCAAAAAACGACTGGAGGTTACAAGAAATGCTGGGAAAGTTCAAGAACTGACTGGAAGGTTACAACAAGGTAGAAAGGGACAGCACTGAAAGTATCACTGTAAAAAGTTCTTTCACTGCTAGGGAAACTCAACTGAGGAAAGGGTTTATCAAACCCCAGGAAAAGGGTTTTATCAACCACTAGGAAGGGTTCATTTAACCACTAGGGAAAAGGGCCCCATTAAAATGCCACGAAGGGTTCATCAACCACTGGGGAAGGGTTATCAAACCCCAAATGGAAAGGCATCAAAAACTAGGAAGGCCTCATCAACTGCCACGAAGGCTTCACAAACCGCTGGTTTCATCAACTGGATCCTAATTTAGGGGCAAGGGGTGGATAAGCTAGATTTTTCGCTATGACTAAAAACCTATGGTAAAAGATAAAGCTATAAGCTAATTTACCTTTTAGAGGGAAAACAGAAAATTTTGTTATTTTAATAAAAAAGGCATGCAAAAAAAACAGGGAGGGATTTAAATAATTTTTGGGAAAGTTCAGAAGATTGAATGACATTCGTATTACCTGAGCGAATCCCCCGAAATTGAGAAAAAAAAGAACAGCTTAGTAACACATTTCATGCTTATAATGCACATGATTTTACATAGCGGTATGTAAAAATGTATAGATGTGTATAGCATCTAGGAAATGAGTCTGTTCAGTCCAGATGTGGCAAGAGAGAGGGGCTTTTTTTTTGTATTGACTTAATGCTGTGAGACCCTCCCAGTGGAAAAAATCTTTATACATATACAATACAAATATAAAAATTTAAAAATTTTATATATTTAATATATAAATTATATATAAAATTTTATAAATATATATATATATATATATATATATACACCACAAACGAAGAAAGGTTTTAAGAACAGATAGGTTGATGAATTAGATATCTGTGCAAGCCCCTGGTTTCAAAAACCCGGGGGGTTCTTCAGTCCAAAAAGGAAGAATGGGTAAGATCAGGATTTTTAGGTAATCTCCTCAGCCTAGATTTTTGATAGAAATCTATATTGGACTGAGGGGAACCAAATAAAAATCCAAATTAGGATCTTGTTTTTTTAGTAAATTTTGGTGGGGGAAATTCACCAAATTTTTACTAAACGAACATCTCTCCCTGCAATTCACCATGCCGCCACTGTTAAATAAAAACACTTCCCGCAGTGGGGGAACAGTTTTTCTAAGACATCAAACTGCCTCACAAAGTGAAGAAAAAAACACGCTTTTTTGAAAAAAGCAGTAGTGGGAGAATATTTCTCTATATAAATCTTTGATGAAATCTTAATAAATTTAAACGTTCATTAAAGTTTATGCCAAAGATCCCCTAGCAAAAAATCACTGATTTTTTTTCCGTAATCTAAGTATTTAACTATGATAATTGCACTTTTGTACCGCCAAGAACCGTAAAGGAAAAATTTTTAATAACCTTTTTTTGGGGGTTTCCTGGAAAATTTCACTATAATGCACCTGTGTACTGCGCTTAAATAAACTTGCTTACTTTTTTTGCTAAGTGTCTTTTTTTCCAGTAGTGGGCAGCGACCATGTACACCAACCCGACTCGAAAACAGGGCAATTCGTTTCCCTCCCCAGAGGAGGGAGTACTTTACTGGTAAAAAACTCCGACCACCCTCCAGCAGCACAAGTACCGAGTGAAGTCATTACCAGGGCTCCCTTTCTCAATAACATTCTTCTCGTCTCTTCTTTTTCTCCCCATCATCTACCTCTCCCTTCCCCCAATAACGCTCTTTCGTATCTTCTTTTCCTTCTCCCCCGTCATCTACCAGGTCTCCCATTCCTAAATAACATTTTTCTCGTCTCCTCTACCTTCTCCCCAAATCATCTACCAGGTCTCCCATTCCTCAATAACGCTCTTCTCGTATCTTCTACCTTCTCCCCAGTCATCTACCAGGTCTCCCATTCCTAAATAACATTTTTCTCGTCTCTTCTACCTTCTCCCCAAGTCATCTACCAGGTCTCCCATTCCTCAATAACACGCTCCTCGTCTCTTCTACCTACTCCAAGTTTTCCCGCACAATATTGATGTTCTGACGTTGTGAGTGGCCACGCCTTATCCAAATTCTGGTCCATGGGACACTGGTATTCACAACCATCATTTTTGTATCCAGCAAGAGATGGGATCACCCAGCCCCTGCATCCTGAGCCCCTCCATCTTGGGTAAAGACGTTGAGACGCCGTTTCGCTCAGGAAGATCTTCGATAAAGATTTCCTTGAGAGAAATGTTGTTTTGGAGAAGGTTTTCATCTGCTCTGAGTGTCGTAGTGTTGGTCTTAGTTATGGGCACTGTCTTCCAACCCTGCACTCCAGTTCTGTACCTAAACATTGTCACTCAGTGTTATAACACCACTCACTGTTATAACACCACTCACAGAAGTGCGCACACTAATCCTGAAGAATTTGATAATGTGCAACATCTGGGTATCTTTATTTGTAGACGTTTCGCTATCCAGTGACTTTATCAATACAAAAATGTGAAGAATGTAGAACTATATACAAACGATGAGGTAATCAGTCTTCGAGTTGGTGAAGAGCACCGTAGTCTTGAAGAATCATATTCAAGACTACGGTGCTCTTTAACTCGAAGACTGATTACCGGATCTTTTGCATATAGTTCAACATTTTTCACATTATGTTCTTGTATTGATGAAGCCACTGGTTGGCGAAACGTATACAAATAAAGATACCCAGATGTTGCGGTATTGTATACCATTCACGAGCACTAATCCTGTCACCACGCTACTCTCCTGGTTCACTCTGCTTCTAACACCATGACGGTAGTCACACAAAAATGGGCTTCCATAAGACGGCTGCGTGTACCCTGGACCGCTCTTGTTTTTGCCAGCACGTCCAAGATGGCTCTGGAGTGCTTAGTTAAACGATCAAGTCAAGAGTCAGAAATCAAAGTAGGTCACACAATGTTAAAATGGTATACAATACCGACATGTTGATAGACACATGTGCAACATTTCGGTATCTGCACTCGACTGAAGAAGCCTACTGTGTAGGCGTAACGTTTCGGAATAGATACCTAATTATTGCACGTGTGTCTTACTTGGGTGACACTGTACAAGGTCACAAATCTACTTCTCACGTCATGGGAACATAAGAATGGAGGAAGACTACGGAAGGCCTACTGGCCCATACTAAGCACGTTCTTCTCTAAGCCAACCATTCCCACCCAACCACCCACTTGTTTAGCCTTTCCCCAAAGGTACCCAAGAATTAGCTTCAATATCCTTTAACTTTTATTACCTAGACTTTCTCACTGGTGTATTTCATACAGTCACCTTCAACGGCGCCCAATTATTTTCAAAACCTGCTTAACACCTCTCCCTACGCCACCCAATTACTAGCCACTGCCACCCAATTAACCTCCGGCACCCAATTGCTTTGCCTGGAGACCCAATCACCATCCAGGGTGGAGCACTTACTGTGAGGCCCGACCTAACCCCTCCCCCCACCTGGTGCCACAACAAAGAACACCCCTCTCAACCCCTCTATATCCCCCTCTCCCCTCACTATCCCCTCCGCACACACCATTACAAGCTTCCCCTCACAGCCTTACCACAGTGCTTCCTCTTTCCTCATTGATTACAAAATTGACAGTCTCTTCCTTTACCTCTACCATTTCCCTTTAATCTGTCCCGTCCTCCCTCTTACTCTCTCTCCCCAGCCTTTACCTTAGTCTCTCCCATCCACAACTTACCCTAACCTTTCTTCCTTTCCAACTTTCCTCTCTCTCTCTCTCTCTCTCTCTTTCCCTTTACCCAACATTCTTCACTCTTTTCTCACTTCTTCCCATCACTGTTGTCTCTCACCCTCCTTTCCTCGTCTTCATTGACACAATTCTCCTCATGAACGCGTTTCTGTCTTACCTGTCGTAATTCAATCTTACCTGACCTCCTCTCCTCCTTCCTCTCCTCCTCATCTCTCTCCTCTCTCTCTCTCTCTCTCTCTCTCCCCCTCTCTCCTCTCTCTCTCTCTCTCTCTATGCAGGATCCAGCTTATACACGTCAAAGTAGAAGTACCTCTCCCCACTCCTGCAGGACAGTCCCCACTAAAGGTTCCCATCCCTCAAGAGGACTTTTCTCAGCAAGACCGTCCTACCAGAAGTCCTCCCCCCCACCCCCTAACGACTCACCTCCCTGGACGGCGAACATGACGAGGTCCTGTACGATGGGAAGACAGGAGCGGGAGAGGGCAGCCTCCTCCTTCAGGATGCTGACGTAGCCACTGCTGGCGCTGGGTTCAACCTCACCCCGCACCGTCAGCTCCATCACCTCCCGCACCTGCATACATACACACAGAGTCACAGGGATGTTAGGAAGTATTTCTTCAGTCATAGAGTTGTTAGGAAGTGGAACAATCTGGAGAGTGGTGTAGTGGAAGCAGGCTCACTAGTTTCACAGTAGATCCACCCCTGGGGGATATCTATTTATCTACACCTGGGGTATATCAACTGATCCGCCCCTGGGGGATATCAATTTATCCGCCCCTGGGGGATATCAACTGATCCGCCCCTGGGGGATATCAAATCAATTGATCTGCCTCTAGGGGATATCAATTGATCCGCACCTGGGGGATATCAACTGATCTGCCCCTGGGGGATATCAACTGATCTGCCCCTGGGGGATATCAATTGATCTGCCCCTGGGGGATATCAGTTTGATCCGCCCCTGAGGGATATCAATTTATCCGCCCCTGGGGGATATCAATTGATTTGCCCCTGGGGGATATCAACTAAGTTACTTGCATCCAGGATACATGAGTGTGCCCCAGTGCACTCCAGGATACGTCACCTGACGTTCGTAGGGGAACACCACAGTGTCACATCCAGGATACGTCACCTGACGTCTGTAGGGGAACACCACAGTGTCACACCCAAGATGCGTCTAAACACATGTCCCCAAGTGCTCATGAGTATAGGTGACGCTACATGTAAGGAACACGTTGCTGAGCAAGAGACAGTATAAAATGCTTTGCTGCCGTTCCCAGGAGCGTAAAATTTGCATGATCTTGTGGTTATTTGTATTAAACTCCAGTAAGCACTTGTCTGACTACCCTGACACCTCCTTCACATCTTCCTGTGACACCTTCTCTATACATAAGATTCGGTTCTTTACAGCAGAGAGAGAGAGAGAGAGAGAGAGAGAGTGTGTGAGTGTGAGAGAGAGAGAGAGAGAGAGAGGAGAGATGAGAGAGAGAGAGGAGAGAGAGAGAGAGAGAGAGAGAGAGAGAGAGAGAGAGAGAGAGAGAGAGAGAGAGAGAGAGAGAGAGAGAGAGAGAGAGAAGGGAGGAGAAAGAATGAATCATGCAGCAAGGTTAGACTTGTGGCAGTGTTACATAATACTGTGAAACCCCTCTCCATCCATCTCTCCCTCTCTCTACACCATCACCTTCCATCCCTCCCACCCTCGCCCTCTTCATTCCCATCCATCATTTGTTTCCGAAAACATTTTTTTCCCCACAATCTTCCGTCCATCTTCAGGTGTACTTTCTTTCCATCATCCATCACTGTTCTTTCTCCCTTCCTCTCTCTCCCAGTATACACTGCTTTCTTTCTCCCTCTCAATAACCATCATTTCCTGCCTATCTATCCCCTCGTATTCCCCTTTCCACTAGTTATTCCTTGTTTTTCCTCTTCTTATTCCATGTCTTGTCTCGTCTCGCCGAAAAGTATCACCCACAGCGGGGCAGTATCACCCACAGTGGGCAGAATCACCCACAGTGGGGCAGTATCACCCACAGTGGGCAGAATCACCCACAGTGGGGCAGTATCACCCACAGTGGGGCAGTATCACCCACAGTGGGGCAGTATCACCCACAGTGGGGCAGTATCACCCACAGTGGGGCAGTATCACCCACAGTGGGGCAGTATCACCCACAGTGGGGCAGTATCACCCACAGTTTACCTGGAGAGAGTTCCGGGGGTCAACGCCCCCGCGGCCCAGTCTGTGACCAGGCCTCCTGGCAGTGGGGCAGTATCACCCACAGTGGGGCTGTATTGTTCACAGTGGGGCAGTATCACTCACAGTGGGGCAGTATCACCCACAGTGGGGCTGTATTGTTCACAGTGGGGCAGTATCACCCACAGTGGGGCAGTATCACCCACAGTGGGGCAGTATCACCCACAGTGGGCAGAATCGCCCACAGTGGGGCAGTATCACCCACAGTGGGGCAGTATCACCCACAGTGGCAGAATCACCCACAGTGGGGCAGTATCACCCACAGTGGGGCAGTATCACCCACAGTGGGCAGAATCGCCCACAGTGGGGCAGTATCACCCACAGTGGGGCAGTATCACCCACAGTGGGGCAGAATCACCCACAGTGGGGCAGTATCACCCACAGTGGGGCTGTATGGTTCACAGTGGGGTAGTATCACCCACATTGGGGCTGTATGGTTCACAGTGGGGCAGTATCACCCACAGTGGGGCTGTATGGTTCACAATGGGGCAGTATCACCCACAGTGGGACAGTATTACCCACAGTGGGGCTGTATGGTTCACAGTGGGGTAGTATCACCCACAGTGGGGCTGTATGGTTCACAGTGGGGCTGTGATCGTGGGAAATTAAGCTCGGTGGTGGGAAAGTAATATTGGTCGTGGGAAAGTAATATTGGTCGTGGGAAAGTAATATTGGTCGTGGAAAAGTAATATTGGTCGTGGGAAAGTAATATTGGTCGTGGGAAAGTAATATTGGTCGTGGGAAAGTAATATTGGTCGTGGAAAAAGTAATATTGGTCGTGGGAAAGTAATATTGGTCGTGGGAAAGTAATATTGGTCGTGGGAAAGTAATATTGGTCGTGGGAAAGTAATATTGGTCGCGGGAAAGTAATATTGGTCGTGGGAAAGTAATTGGTCGTGGGAAAGTAATATTGGTCGTGGAAAGTAATATTGGTCGTGGGAAAGTAATATTGGTCGTGGGAAAGTAATATTGGTCGTGGGAAAGTAATATTGGTCGTGGGAAAGTAATATTGGTCGTGGGAAAGTAATATTGGTCGTGGAAAGTAATATTGGTCGTGGAAAGTAATATTGGTCGTGGGAAAGTAATATTGGTCGTGGGAAAGTAATATTGGTCGTGGGAAAGTAATATTGGTCGTGGGAAAGTAATATTGGTCGCGGGAAAGTAATATTGGTCGCGGGAAAGTAATATTGGTCGTGGGAAAGTAATATTGGTCGTGGGAAAGTAATATTGGTCGCGGGAAAGTAATATTGGTCGTGGGAAAGTAATATTGGTCGCGGGAAAGTAATATTGGTCGTGGGAAAGTAATATTGGTCGTGGGAAAGTAATATTGGTCGTGGGAAAGTAAGAGTAGTCGTGGGAAAGTAACAGTGGTCGTGGGAAAGTAACAGTGGTCGTGGGAAAGTAACAGTAGTCGTGGGAAAGTAACAGTAGTCGTGGGGAAAGTAAACAGTAGTCGTGGAAGTAAGAGTAGTCGTGGGGAAAGTAACAGTGGTCGTGGGAAAGTAACAGTGGTCGTGGGAAAGTAACAGTAGTCGTGGGAAAGTAACAGTGGTCGTGGGAAAGTAACGAGTAGTCGTGGGAAAGTAACAGTAGTCGTGGGAAAGTAACAGTGGTCGTGGGAAAGTAACAGTGGTCGTGGGAAAGTAACAGTGGTCGTGGGAAAGTAACAGCAGTCGTGGGAAAGTAACAGTAGTCGTGGGAAAGTAACAGTAGTCGTGGGAAAGTAACAGTAGTCGTGGGGAAAGTAACAATGGTCGTGGGAAAGTAACAGTAGTCGTGGGAAAGTAACAATGGTCGTGGGAAAGTAACAGTAGTCGTGGGAAAGTAACAGTAGTCGTGGGAAAGTAACAGTAGTCGTGGGAAAGTAACAGTAGTCGTGGGAAAGTAACAATGGTCGTGGGAAAGTAACAGTAGTCGTGGGAAAGTAACAATGATCGTGGGAAAGTAACAGTAGTCGTGGGAAAGTAACAGTAGTCGTGGGAAAGTAACAGTAGTCGTGGGAAAGTCGTGGGAAAGTAACAGTAGTCGTGGGAAAGTAACAGTAGTCGTGGGAAAGTAACAATGGTCGTGGGAAAGTAACAGTAGTCGTGGGAAAGTAACAGTAGTCGTGGGAAAGTAACAATGGTCGTGGAAAAGTAACAGTAGTCGTGGGAAACAGTAGTCGTGGGAAAGTAACAGTAGTCGTGGGAAAGTAACAGTAGTCGTGGGAAAGTAACAATGGTCGTGGGAAACAGTAGTCGTGGGAAAGTAACAATGGTCGTGGGAAAGTAACAGTAGTCGTGGGAAAGTAACAGTAGTCGTGGGAAAGTAACAGTAGTCGTGGGAAAGTAACAATGGTCGTGGGAAAGTAACAGTAGTCGTGGGAAAGTACAATGGTCGTGGGAAAGTAACAGTAGTCGTGGGAAAGTAACAGTAGTCGTGGGAAAGTAACAGTAGTCGTGGGAAAGTAACAGTAGTCGTGGGAAAGTAACAGTAGTCGTGGGAAAGTAACAGTAGTCGTGGAAAAGTAACAATGGTCGTGGGAAAGTAACAGTAGTCGTGGGAAAGTAACAGTAGTCGTGGGAAAGTAACAATGGTCGTGGGAAAGTAACAGTAGTCGTGGGAAAGATAACAGTAGTCGTGGGAAAGTAACAATGGTCGTGGGAAAGTAACAGTAGTCGTGGGAAAGTAACAGTAGTCCTGGGAAAGTAACAGTAGTCGTGGAAAGTAACAGTAGTCGTGGGAAAGTAACAGTAGTCGTGGGAAAGTAACAGTAGTCGTGGGAAAGTAACAATGATCGTGGGAAAGTAACAGTAGTCGTGGGAAAGTAACAGTAGTCGTGGGAAAGTAACAGTAGTCGTGGGAAAGTCGTGGGAAAGTAACAGTAGTCGTGGGAAAAGTAACAGTAGTCGTGGGAAAGTAACAATGGTCGTGGGAAAGTAAACAGTAGTCGTGGGAAAGTAACAGTAGTCGTGGGAAAGTAACAGTAGTCGTGGGAAAGTAACAATGGTCGTGGGAAAGTAACAGTAGTCGTGGGAAAGTAACAGTAGTCGTGGGAAAGTAACAATGGTCGTGGGAAAGTAACAGTAGTCGTGGGAAAGTAACAGTAGTCGTGGGAAAGTAACAGTGGTCATGGGAAAGTAACAGTAGTCGTGGGAAAGTAACAGTGGTCATGGGAAAGTAACAGTAGTCGTGGGAAAGTAACAGTGGTCATGGGAAAGTAACAGTAGTCGTGGGAAAGTAACAGTGGTCATGGGAAAGTAACAGTAGTCGTGGGAAAGTAACAGTGGTCATGGGAAAGTAACAGTAGTCGTGGGAAAGTAACAGTGGTCATGGGAAAGTAACAGTAGTCGTGG